TACGAGGGTGGCTATGTAATATTTTTTTTACAATACAATTGGAAATAAATATCAAATTAAGGCAGTTTACTACATTTACATCATTTTAGTCTTATTAATGTTTTATTTAAATGTTTCACGATTAATATAATCAATTATTCTGTAATATGAAAAATATATATTCTATCAAATTTACCTGTCATTAACGACTACATAGGGGGTTCGTCAAATTTTTTCGGACCTTTCTTTTGGTTCGCGAGGAAAAAAGGTTGGGAAACACTGGTCTAGCTGATATTGTCTCTTGAAAAGAATATATCTATTAAGGTTGCTTCAAATAGTTTAAAAATGTAGAGATGAGTTACAGAGATAGAAGAGTGATAGTTTGTACAAAGAGCAACAGGCAATTGTAGAGCTGGAGCAGCAACGTAGAGAAGTAAATATTAGAAAGGGTTGCACACTGTCACCGTTACATTTTAATCTATAACATCGAAAACGTGATCGACATCATTAAAGACAGTACAACTCTAGGGATAGATATAGAGGGGCAAAAGATTAGTATGCTTAGATTTGCAGATGATATAGAAGTGTTAGCATTTAGCAAGGAGGAGTTAGAGATAGAGTTAGGGAATGAGCGAATATAAAGATAAGAGATGAAAAACCGGGTCAAGTTCACTGAACCTTAACAACTATCAGTATTAATTAGGATTAGTTCTCTTTTAGGTTTAGTTTACTTCAGTCCCTGAAGAAGGTAACTTTGTTACCGAAAAGTGCTTCGGACAACTACAGTGTCTTGTTTTGGCGTTGGGGTTTTGAGCTATTCTCTTTGTTCTACATTGTATCTTTTGATCAGAGAGTTATAAACCACAAGTTATTATAAAAGCAACTGGAATTTAGATTTAATTTTTTTAGGGTGACAGCGGTGGTGGTTTGGTACTTAGAAACCAAGATGGGCTTGCAAAATTAGTTGGAGTTGTAAGTTTTGTCGCCAAGTCCGGCTGCGAGCGCGGGTTTCCCGCAGCTTTCGTTCGCACGGAACCTTATTTGGACTGGATTGTAGAACATACTGGAATTTCATTGGAATAAAAAGTTGAATCAGCACAACTGTATTTTTTTGTTTTTTTGATTGTTTCGTCTATCTTATCTTTGACCATTCGTGTAATTAAAAATTCCTTTTTGGGAAATAATCATGCGGTAAGATTACAAGTTCGAATAATTTGATTTGATAAACTCAAAAAAAAAATAATTAAAACCACGTGGAAGAAGGAAACATGTTCATAATTCAAAAACGTACAGTCAAAAAAATACAATAAAAAGCAATAATTAATTAAAATTAATAAAAGCATTGTTTGAGTATTCAATGCTGAGTAATTTTCAGTTGTTGTCTGGTATTGGTTTCTTATATAGGTATCACTTTTTCAGCGTAATTTTTTATCTTTGTCCGCGTTTTTCTTAATTGTGAACGCGATTCTGTCTTCCACGTGATTAATTATATAAAATTTAACAANCTGAGTCTTATTTGGATTGGATATCTAAGCATACAGGCATTAAAGTGTAACTTTGTATGAAATAAAATCAACTAAATGCATGTTTTTTTTTTTCGTTTATCTGTTACAATAAATAATAAGTTGCTTAAAAGGAGTAAAACTGTAAATATACAAAAACGCGCATTATATTTTCAAGATTCCACACTCAAAGACTGGTGTCATTCGTGGAAACTTGGAACTAGGTACGTACTAAAATATACATATATTTCACCCTTCTTTTTGTTAAATTCAATCCTCTCAAAGCAAATACGATTTATTATTTAGCCTCTTCAGGCGATAACGTAAGTGATTAAAAATTGTGATATGCATTTCAAGTATGCCCTCGAGATCAATAATTCTTTGTTTGTGAGCGACACCAATAATTTTGGATTATATAAATAACATTCTACTTATTTATTAACTATTACATTCTGTTCTAGATGAAGGTAGAATAATAAACGGTAAGCCTGCCTCCAAGGGGCAATTTCCGTGGCAAGTCGGCGTTTTCTTTGATTTGCCAAGCGGACGACGCTTCTGTGGTGGTTCTCTAATAAGTAGTCGATGGGTGTTAACGGCGGGCCACTGTGCCAAAAAGTTAGTAATAAAACCATTCCAAATCAATATTTTCAATCACTGATAAAAGACATTGAAAATAATCTGGATAATGTGGGATTTGATAAGAGTTTTTGATACTTTTATTATTCAATTGTCTCTGTGTTACATACAAGGATTTTTTTAATAATCTTCATCATCATAAGGTCTTCAGTCCTAAGACTGGTTGGACACGTACCTCCACTCTTTCCTATCCTGAGTTAAACTTCGCATTTCCCTAAAACTAGAACAGCCCACATCCTTAACTATTTGCTAACAGTAATCTAATCTAGGTCCAACTCTACCCCTCCTAACTCCTGTTTCTGCCTCTAATATGTCTTTGACTAGACCTTCATGCCTGAGAAGGTGTCCTACCAATCTATCTAGCCTATTTTTTATTAACTTCCATAGAGTCCTCTGTTCTCCTATTCTTTCCAATACCTCTTCATTTCTAACCTTTTCTACCCACGTTATCCTCATCATTCGCCTATAACACCACATTTCGAACTCTTGCAACCTTTTCTTTTGCGCCGCGCTTACTGTCCATGTTTCGCACCCGTACAACGCCGTGCTTAACCGTAATAATATTCTTATGTAATTGAAATTTGCTAGCACTACTATCACCTTATTTTCAGTGCAACAAATTTTGTAATTAATCTGGGATCGATAACCACAGACAATGAAGAACTAGGCCGTGTGACAGTGTATACTAATAAGTCGATTGTACACGAAAATTACGACAATAGATATCTTAATAATGATGTCGCACTTATTGATTTGGGTGTAGACATAGGATCAAATGGTATGATGGATTTTGATATTTTTATTTCAATTTTATACGAATATTATAAAAGAAATAAAAATTTTTATTCGGTAAAATGAAATTAGATCTGATGTTATCAGCATGCGAGAATTTAGAGAATTATCAGAGCTTACGATCATGTTCTTTTTAGAATTCTTTGTCAAGAAAAAATCAGTCAGATCTATAATCTTTGTTTCACTGATAGAAAGCCGACTCAGCACTCATGAATGCCTTTTCTCAATAAAAATCAAGATTGTTAAATTAAAACGTAAAGTGCCTTTATCAAAACTAATTGTTCAGATTGTTATTGTATTTGTTATAGAGTATTTTCAATTTGCAAAATGCTCACGCACCTACAGTAAGATTGACCTTTATACATTTGTTCAATTTCCATTTCTTTATCATTTTTAAATGTAAGATACTATAAAAACAAAGTCAAGTTTAGTGTAAAAAGAAAAGGTTTTCTGTAATTACAAGGTTGCGGTGGACAGCTTCTTAGTCATCGGATGTTGTTTTAAAATCAATGTTAGTTTTTTCTCATAATTTAGACAATAATTTTTGAATTTTTGGATGAGGTTAGTCACCGGCAACGTATGACTACCCTCATCTAAAAATTCAAAAATTAATTGTCTAAATTATGAGAAAAAAACACTGATTTTAAAACAACATCCTTATGAATATATATTTTATTAATGACTTTACAGTTGTGAGTTCAGTTAAAAAAAAATGCCTATCATGGGTTTAAATAACATATCAAATCAAATATAGAGTCCACCCCTATCCTAAACTTTACTGAATTCTTTGGGACCCTGAGGAGACCCTATTCTAAAAGTCAAAACGTTGCTTGTTAATTACTAGTTTAGTTTCTAATTTGACAAAGAATTTTCACTGCACTAACAGTCGTAGGCAGATAGTAGTTTCAGAATCTACTACTTCATTTATAAAAACAGCAAATCAGTAATAGAAAAAACTGTTTCCAATTTACGGGACATTTTCTTTTAGATTACATCAAGCCAATCCATTTACCTTCGAAGGGAGAAGTTGTTGGGGTAAATGAACAGCTTGAAGTAAGCGGATGGGGAATAACCAACGATTCAGGTAATTGTAAATAAAAGGATAGCTTGTGAACCCTATTAAAATGACTCCTTTTGAACATGTCCATCAGGGGCTTACATGTGGCGCGTGACGCGTGACGTTACACTTTTTGGTTTTTCCTTCCTAGTGTCGATAAAGAATTTTAACTTAAAATAATAAACAACGTACCACTAAAATTCTGTTTTATCCTTTTTTTTATAGGTACAGTGGTGAACCGCGATTTAAATTTCGTAAAACTCTACAGTATTAGCAACGAGGAATGTTTGAATTCATTTAGCCCAAGATTTGTTATTGAAAGCACTCTGTGTGCTGTAGGAAATACTACTGAAAGCCCATGTAGCGTAAGTATAAACAAAATCCCGAAAACACCCCCACGTCATATTTCACCTAAGACTGACTATTATCATCAAAATTCTTTAGTTAACTTGTATTTGTACTTTAGGGTGACAGTGGTGGCGGTCTCGTTAAGCGACAGAATGGAAAATCGATACATGTTGGAATTACAAGTTTTGTTAATGATGCCGGTTGCTCTCTTGGCATTCCCACGGGATACTCCCGCACTGAGTCTTATTTGGATTGGATATCTAAGCATACAGGCATTAAAGTGTAACTTTGTATGAAATAAAATCAACTAAATGCATGTTTTTTTTTTTCGTTTATCTGTTACAATAAATAATAAGTTGCTTAAAAGGAGTAAAACTGTAAATATACAAAAACGCGCACATAAATTTTCGATCTGTTAAAACATTATTCGGAATGTTTTAAGGCAGGAAACCCATATAAAAAAGTATGTAGAATTCAGTGGTGGTATCAGATTTGAGATGCAGTCTGATATAGTTAAACTACTCCTTAATTGATTACTTAAAAAGCATAAAAACTAAAATACAAAAACGCGCACAAAGATTTTCGATCTGTTGAAACATTATTCTGAATGTTCTAAAGGATGCAAAATATGTAAAAATTCAGTGGTGACATCAGATTTGAGGTGAGGTTTGACATAATTAAGCAACTCCTTAATTAATTGCTTAAAGGGCATAAAAATTACAAATACAAAAACACGCATGTAAATGCACAAACTGTTAAAACATTGTTCTGAACATTCTAAGGGATGAAAATTATGTAAAAAGGTATATAGAATTCAGTGTTGCAATCAGATTTAAGGTACGATCAGACATAATTAAGCTACCCCGTAATTAAATACTTAAAAGGCGTTAAAAGTAGTTACAAATACTTAAAACGAGCCTGTAAATTTTCGATGTGTTAAAACATTATTCTGAACGTTCTAAGGAATGAAGAATATGTAGAAATGTATGCAGAATTCAGTGGTAGAATTAATTTTTTNATCCAAACAACTGAAATGATAACGAGGTAATTAAAATAATAAGCACTGTTCGTTGTATTGAAGAAATATTTTTTTTGTCAAAAGACACCTAAGAAAGTAGCTTGAAAACAAATTCTAACGAGTAGTCATTTATTAATTTTAGAAACTTGAGAAAAATTTCGTTATTTATCTTTAAAAACGCTTGTCAATTATATATTAATAAGAGGAAATGTCAATTTTTGACAAAATACCCCAAACGGAACCCTTTCAAAAGTAAATATTATGGACAAAATACGACCAACTGTAGGGCCTCTCCGAAAATGTGACCGATGCAGTTAATGACGACGTACACCGTGAAAACGAATTAAAAATAATGATAAAATACTTCAAAAAACATAAAAAAAACAAAAAAAAATAACGGAATCTACATAAATTATGGTGCAAATTTATCAAGTTTTATCTCGGCCGCTGATTCTTAGACGTCGATTTTGATAGGAATGCGACAATATAAAACCTTTTGCAAACGAAGATCGCAATAGTATCAGTGATTACCATCATGAACGCCGGTGTACTCAGTTTGTTATTTGCGGTAACAGTTTGCGCCCTTGGGGCAAAGGTGAGAAAAAAATTTAAAAATATGTAGCCCCGAAAAAAACCTTTTATCTTTTTAAGGTTCCATATGCAACTCCTGGTTTTCCTGAAGACGTTCGAAAGGGTAGGTATTGGAATATTGATTTCACCATTCGACATTCGAAGATCACATCAGCAAATGTGAATTTCGCCGAGAAATCTTTTAATAATTTTTAATTCATTAATTTTCTCAATCTCAACACCAACATAGAAAAAAAACCCTACAGACGGTACAATTTTTATGTTAAATTGACTAAAAGTTTCGGTTTAAAATTCAATGTTTTTCAAAAACATCCCCGAATGAATTTTAAGTTGAACAAATAACATTGCCTTCTGTTTTAGATACAGCGAAACCTGAGGATAGAATAATAAACGGTAACGTTGCCTCTAAAGGGCAATTCCCATGGCAAGCGATCGTTTACTTTTATTTAACTGACGGGCGACACATCTGTGGTGGTTCCCTAATAAGTAGTCGATATGTCCTAACAGCAGCTCACTGCGCTCGAAAGTGAGTAATAAAAACATTTTAAATCTACATTTTTAATTAGTAACACTAGAAACAATAGTCAGAATAATTTAGGAATTGACTACAGGTTCTTTAAAATAAAATCATCTATTTTGGATACTTCTTTTTACTAAATCTTTTCCGTATAACAAGAATTTTTTTTAATAATCTTTTGTGATTAGTTGGATTCATCCTACAATCCAAATTTGAAATCTAAGACCATAAATTATAAGCTAAACCAGTTAAAACCTTTTCTAATGTAAAATTCCATTTCAATTTCCAGTCTGTCATAAGTAATTATCCAGTATACTATAAGATACGATCGTACGTTCAGTACCACAGCAGGTAGAGATAAAAAATTGCTAGCGTTATCGGAGAGTTGAAGAACAGGGATCATTCAAAGAGGTAGAAAAATTCAAAAAGAAAAAAAATAAATTGTAATCCTACACATATTACCCAAACGACGAATTTAACAAAATTTTCCAAAAATGCCACCTGGCAATTTAAAATTATTATCACAGAATATCACGACATATTTTGTTTTAATATAGGTGTACGAAATTTGAATTCGATAAATAAATATTGTATATTACAGTTACTACGTCATTCAAGCAATCAACTAACGAGTAGAATAATTATACTAAACCACAACTAAAATCAGTAACGACCAATGAATTTTGCAACAATCGTAAGTAACTGCCTAGAAGCCGTAACCCGTAAAGAATGTAGGTAAATACAAAAAAGCGCAAGTATATATTCGATCTGATAAAACAATATACTGGCGGCTCTAAGGGATGAAACACATGTAAAAAGATACGTAGAATACAGTGGTGATATCAGATTTAAAGTACGGTAAGATATAAATAAGCTACCCCTTAATTCATTGCTTAAAAGACGAAAAAACTGTAAGTAAAAAACGCGCACGTAAATTTTCGATCTGTTAAAACATTATTCTGGGTGATCCAAGGGGTGAATTATATGTAGAAAAGTATGCAGAATTTAGTGGTGGTATCAGATTTGAAGTATGTATGTTTAATAATAATGTTACTAAATAAGTAATTAATTATTCCTACGTAATAGTTTGTGTTTTTTCAAGGATACTATGAAGTTTCACGCAAAAAAGTTATTTTCCTAAAAAAGACGTTTTATATTCTTCTTTATAGATACAATATTAGGATTGTAATATTTGCTGTATGTTGAGTTGTCTATATTTTATATTACAAATTGTTGTTTAAATCATTGCAAAAGGAAAAACGTAAATAAGTATCCCTAACTGTATCTATACGGGAAAAATATAATTAACGATGAAAAATTTATCCATTTACTTCAATGAAACTAGAATATATAGCCTTTGTTTTAAATTGTCCCGACGCCTCCACCAAAATATACCATAAAATTATTTAATAATTGCTGACAGCTTTTGTATGTCTTCATGAATGCCCGGATTTTTTAACTAAAAACTCAAAATTAGTAACTAAATACTCTTTAATAACAATATACAATGGTTTTCATTGAAATAGAAGAAGATTTCTTTAAAATTATTACTAATTAATTGATTCTTTGTAAGGTAACATCGTAGCCAGTCTGATTAACGAAAATGTAATGATAAGTTCACACCTTTAAACCCTGAAAATACTTCTAAACGAGATAAAGAAACGCTGATAGTTATTAATAAAAGGCAGTATAAGTACACATATTAAAAATAAACAAAAAAAAACAATCTAGGCAATTAAGATTGATTCTAGATTCTACACGTAAATGCAAACCTTTCAACCCTTAATTGCCTAAATTCTTTTGTTTACTCATATTCACACTAATAGAAATAAATGGCACATTTAAAGTTTAAAGTTCAATTTCCAAATAAGTTTATAAAATTTTAAAACAAATTTTTGTGAAAAAAAGCAAAACCATCCCAGTAACCAAGGGCCCCCCATTTATCGTTTAATCCGCAACCACCTACGAACTTCCATATTACGCGTAAGCGCAATGAAAGCTGTAAGTAGCTGAAGATTAACCGATAATGAGCGTCAGCCTGGCCCAGCCGGATGATTAGTAATATACGACGTCTAGGCATATCTCTCCAGCTACTTCCTGAACCCTGCGTACACCTATGGCCACTCAGTGCACGGGCAGTACAATAACCTTCGAGATATAACCCTATTACCACCGATGTAACCAACTAGCCGTTCTCTTATACCTCTCGCGCGGCTTAAAAGTAGTGTGAGCGCTAAGCTTTAAACAATTTTACCTTTTTAATTTTACAAAAAAAATAAACCTTTTACCCTATAAATACCAACCAAAGGATAAACCGAAGTGATTTGTAGAATAATACTTCCCTATCATAAGTTAAAGATGAACTAACTACCACTAATCAAATAAAGAAGATGAACCTCGAATTTGTACTAACTNGAGGATAGAATAATAAACGGTAACGTTGCCTCTAAAGGGCAATTCCCATGGCAAGCGATCGTTTACTTTTATTTAACTGACGGGCGACACATCTGTGGTGGTTCCCTAATAAGTAGTCGATATGTCCTAACAGCAGCTCACTGCGCTCGAAAGTTTCCAGTCTGTCATAAGTAATTATCCAGTATACTATAAGATACGATCGTACGTTCAGTACCACAGCAGGTAGAGATAAAAAATTGCTAGCGTTATCGGAGAGTTGAAGAACAGGGATCATTCAAAGAGGTAGAAAAATTCAAAAAGAAAAAAAATAAATTGTAATCCTACACATATTACCCAAACGACGAATTTAACAAAATTTTCCAAAAATGCCACCTGGCAATTTAAAATTATTATCACAGAATATCACGACATATTTTGTTTTAATATAGGTGTACGAAATTTGAATTCGATAAATAAATATTGTATATTACAGTTACTACGTCATTCAAGCAATCAACTAACGAGTAGAATAATTATACTAAACCACAACTAAAATCAGTAACGACCAATGAATTTTGCAACAATCGTAAGTAACTGCCTAGAAGCCGTAACCCGTAAAGAATGTAGGTAAATACAAAAAAGCGCAAGTATATATTCGATCTGATAAAACAATATACTGGCGGCTCTAAGGGATGAAACACATGTAAAAAGATACGTAGAATACAGTGGTGATATCAGATTTAAAGTACGGTAAGATATAAATAAGCTACCCCTTAATTCATTGCTTAAAAGACGAAAAAACTGTAAGTAAAAAACGCGCACGTAAATTTTCGATCTGTTAAAACATTATTCTGGGTGATCCAAGGGGTGAATTATATGTAGAAAAGTATGCAGAATTTAGTGGTGGTATCAGATTTGAAGTACGGTTAGTTATAAATAAGCTACCCTTTACTTCATTGCTTAAAAGACGTAAAAACTGTAAGTACAAAAACACACACGTAAATTTTCGATCTGTTAAAACATTATTCTGGGTGATCCAAGGGATGAATAATATGTAGAAAAGTATGCAGAATTTAGTGGTGGTATCAGATTTGAAGTGCGGTTAGATATAAATAAACTACCCCTTAATTCATTCCATCTTCTCATCTACGCAATTAGAAATGCGTTTTTAGAACCGTATTGCAATTAATTTCCAACAAATAAGTTTTCTTAAAGTCTTAAAAAGAATAGTACCATTTGATAAATGTCGCACCAGCACATCTATGATGGATTGTTCCTGGCAATTCTATTATTATCAATGATTTTTTACTTTCTATATAACTTAATCTATTAGCGATAATCATTTGACAATTATTGATCATTACAGGAAATGACATCACATCTAATTGATCATAGGAATACCCGATTATGATAAAACTATTAAGGGTTTGATTTTTTAAGTATGTTTATGTTATTACTCTTTTGTTTATATCCAAACAACTGAAATGATAACGAGGTAATTAAAATAATAAGCACTGTTCGTTGTATTGAAGAAATATTTTTTTTGTCAAAAGACACCTAAGAAAGTAGCTTGAAAACAAATTCTAACGAGTAGTCATTTATTAATTTTAGAAACTTGAGAAAAATTTCGTTATTTATCTTTAAAAACGCTTGTCAATTATATATTAATAAGAGGAAATGTCAATTTTTGACAAAATACCCCAAACGGAACCCTTTCAAAAGTAAATATTATGGACAAAATACGACCAACTGTAGGGCCTCTCCGAAAATGTGACCGATGCAGTTAATGACGACGTACACCGTGAAAACGAATTAAAAATAATGATAAAATACTTCAAAAAACATAAAAAAAACAAAAAAAAATAACGGAATCTACATAAATTATGGTGCAAATTTATCAAGTTTTATCTCGGCCGCTGATTCTTAGACGTCGATTTTGATAGGAATGCGACAATATAAAACCTTTTGCAAACGAAGATCGCAATAGTATCAGTGATTACCATCATGAACGCCGGTGTACTCAGTTTGTTATTTGCGGTAACAGTTTGCGCCCTTGGGGCAAAGGTGAGAAAAAAATTTAAAAATATGTAGCCCCGAAAAAAACCTTTTATCTTTTTAAGGTTCCATATGCAACTCCTGGTTTTCCTGAAGACGTTCGAAAGGGTAGGTATTGGAATATTGATTTCACCATTCGACATTCGAAGATCACATCAGCAAATGTGAATTTCGCCGAGAAATCTTTTAATAATTTTTAATTCATTAATTTTCTCAATCTCAACACCAACATAGAAAAAAAACCCTACAGACGGTACAATTTTTATGTTAAATTGACTAAAAGTTTCGGTTTAAAATTCAATGTTTTTCAAAAACATCCCCGAATGAATTTTAAGTTGAACAAATAACATTGCCTTCTGTTTTAGATACAGCGAAACCTGAGGATAGAATAATAAACGGTAACGTTGCCTCTAAAGGGCAATTCCCATGGCAAGCGATCGTTTACTTTTATTTAACTGACGGGCGACACATCTGTGGTGGTTCCCTAATAAGTAGTCGATATGTCCTAACAGCAGCTCACTGCGCTCGAAAGTGAGTAATAAAAACATTTTAAATCTACATTTTTAATTAGTAACACTAGAAACAATAGTCAGAATAATTTAGGAATTGACTACAGGTTCTTTAAAATAAAATCATCTATTTTGGATACTTCTTTTTACTAAATCTTTTCCGTATAACAAGAATTTTTTTTAATAATCTTTTGTGATTAGTTGGATTCATCCTACAATCCAAATTTGAAATCTAAGACCATAAATTTCATATCCTAAGTAATAATATAAATGCGAATGTAAGTTTGTTTGCTACTATTTCATACTTCAACAACTCAACCGATCATTATGAAATTCTCTGCACACATTGCCAAGGGTACAAAAAAAAAGACACAGGGTACCTTTTTCCCAGAAAAATAAATACTGTTCTCGCAGGATAGAAAAATTAGTTTTATGAAGTCATCAATTATCTTTGATACGAATTTATACTAGCGAGTGCCGCAGAAAAACCCCAGTAATTTTTATATCTCTTTATATATTCATCACTATTGATTCTAAGATTAAAAATAAGTAAAATTCATTGTAATATGGTGCAATTTTAAGAAGCACAATATACATATAGTTTAGCGAATATAACTGATTCGAATATATAGTATTCTAATCTTATAAACTATAGAAAATTAATGAATTTTTTAAGTATCGCATATTATTTTACTTCTGTTAAAACTTTTTTAAATAAGAGTAAAAAAGGTTTTGTTTTGAATTATTTAAAAGTAGATACCTAATTGAATGCTCATATTAGTATAAGAATTTATTTTTATTATTATATATCGATTTTACATAGAAAATTGATATTTTCAGTGCACTCCGATTTGTAGTTAGTCTAGGATCGATAACAACAGCCACTGAAGAACAAGGCCGTGTGACGGTGTATACTAATAAATCAATCGTACATGAAAATTACAATACTGCTAATCTTAATAATGACATCGCTCTAATTGATTTGGGTGTAGACATCGGATCAAACGGTATGACGGATTTTGATTGATTTATTTCATTTTTTTATATAGTTTGCGTCAACGATATCGTTAAAGCCAACAATAAATCTTTCTTCAGTAAAGTAAAATTACACTTGATATCAGCACAGAAATATTTTTAGGATTTTATGCCAATCCTTAAATCCTCCTGTAATCTTAGTTTCACTGATACAAAGCCCACTCAGCAATCACGAACACTTTTGTTTCTACTTTTCAAAATTAAAAGAAATAGTTGTTAATCAAAACGTAAACTCCCTGTATCTATAAGTACTTATTGTTTGAATTCAGTTTCGTTAATAATTTTCACTGTAGGTACAGTAGAATTTTCTAGTTTTTTTGGATCTACTCATTTGTTCAGTTTTTCGAAATATCATCACAAAGGCAAAATCAATTTTAGGATGAAAAATGTATTTTTATCACAACTTACAATCGATGTTTCACTTTTTCATACAAGGCTTCTTAAAGGCTACAAAGAATTTAACAAACTGATCATTAGTTTGCTATCTAGTAAATCGCACACAATTAATATAAATCTTAATCCTAATAAAGTTTATTGAATTTTTTGTGGCCATGAAGAAGCCCAATACCCACGAGCAAAACGTCGGTTGTTTTACTATTGATCAGATATTAAATTTAGAAACTGCTACCTACTTATAAAAATAACAAATTCATAATAAGAAGAAACCGTTTTCATTTTACGAAACGCTTGTTTTCAAGATCACATCAAGCCAATCCGTTTACCATCGAAGGGGGATGTTGTTGGCGTAAATAGACAGCTTGAAGTAAGCGGATGGGGAATAGTTAGCGATTCAGGTATAAATTTAAAAAACAACAAATAAAATACCAATAAAGAACTGATTTAAACTTTTATTATAGGCACAGTGGCGAGTCGCAATTTAAATTATGTTCAACTTCACAGTATCAGCAATTCAGCATGTGCGCGTTTGTATGGATCAAGTGTCATTGTTTCAAGTACCCTATGTGCATTAGGAGAAACCATTGAAAGCACTTGCAGTGTAAGTTAAACCAAAGTACCGCCTAGCCCATTCAAATGTACAAAAATATAGCCGAACGTTACATTTTGGGTAGCGCAAGATTTTTTTATATTTAAGGGGAACTGATAGGAGTATAAAACTCAGTTTTCGGGGTTGAAAGTTGCCCTCACGCCCATTTGGCACCTTTCTTACAAAATGGAGGGTAAACGTTAGTCTCCAAACTTTCTTTGGTACTTCTTTTTTTAGAGAATCGAATTATCTACAATTTTGAGTCAGATTTTTATTAATTTGGACCAGAATTGTAAAAAATTTAATTCTCTACAGAAAAAAGTATTTAAGAAAAGTGGTGAGATTTGTGGTTCTCAAAATCTGCTACACCCTGCTATAGTTGAAGCAATTTACTGTTTTATTATTTATATTTTAATCATGTTTCATCAAAACGCAACTACAATTAGCTTCAATATCTACGTCGAACAATAATTAACCGACTCATTTCATCATCAAAATTTTTTGGTCAATTTATACTACCCTGTTTGATTTAATCCTAATACTCTGTGTACGTATGTAGGGTGACAGTGGTGGAGGTCTTATAAAACGAGAGAACGGAGAAGCCACGCATGTTGGGGTTGTAAGTTTTGTAAATGACGCTGGTTGTTCACTTGGAGCCCCCTCAGGATACGTCCGCACTGAGTCTTATTTGGATTGGATTTCCAGCCATACAGGCATCCCAGTCTAACTTTGTCATTTATTAATGATATAATTGTTTTATAAATTACCATAAAATGCATAAAATAAAATCGAATAATGCACCTGTTATTTTTTTTCTCCGGTTCATATGTTGTATAAACGTTGTTATTATTATCTATTACAAAAAAGAAAAATAACTTGTAAAAGACTTACCTAATGTACACATTTTCGATGGTAGTTTCTTCATAAATCCTACTGCAAAGCTCGTCACTCTATAAGCACTGCACAACACTGATTGCTAATGTACCAAATTGTATTTTAATAAAACAATTTACACTAATTTTACTTACAAATTAACACAGTTACAATACTCGACAAGAAATCGGCGTTTATAATGTTCTGTTATAGCTATGCCCATTGTGCCTGGCACTTGCTCATCAATCAACCAAGGTCACTGCTTTTTTTACTGATATGCTAGGAATTTTATCAGATGTATTATTCCAGCGTGAATTACTTTGTTAGAAATTACAATAGAGATTAATTAATTTGTAATAAAATTTGAATTAAAAAACATATTTAGACTGCTTAAATCTGTTGCATCTTCATCTGAATTATCATATAATCAGTAATTAGAAAGAAATTAATGAGGCAGGAAGTTAATCATTTTAATTTTTTCGGATACGTAAAAGTGCGCAAGGAATTTAATGACCCGTGAATTTTTTAATTAATATTATTAAAGCTAATTAAACAAATATTAAAGAACGAAAACGTTGAATTAACAAAAATTATTTACTGTTAAAATAATTCAATTACAATTTATAGTCAATAATTGAGGAACAATTTAATCGAAAAAGTTATTTTCAACAACATATCTGACGCTCTGTAAAATAATATTTCTCTCGTGTCGTATTTCTTTTGCTAAAAGTNTAATTGGAACTATCCTTTCTAAAAGTGTCACTCTTCTTTTTTTATAAACTGCACTGGTCACTTTATTTAAGTTGGATGAAGTTGGTTCTGATCCAGTTTCTTTTCTCTTGGCGATTTTCTTTTGAGGTAAAACGTTCTTTTTTCTTGTTCTCTTCCTTTTTCTACTCCTTTTTTCATCTTTCAATGAGCATTCAACAGATTTCGTTACGTTTTCTTCTACTGGCGGATGTTCGCGAATTATTTTTTCTTCAATTGGACCCTCGTCGTCACTTATTGTTTCAACATTAGTATCTACTTTATTTTTATCAAATGTTTTTACAATTTCCTTTTCTTTATTTTCTGGTTTTGAAATTGTTTCGTTCGATTCTGATTCATCTGAAGAACCATAGGCTCCTATAAGTGCCCCTAAAGCGTTATTAAAGACAATTTTGTTGCTCTTTTGATCATTTTCTGCATGCTCCTTCCATTCATTATCATCAAACACCTCGCTATCCTTCTCAGGGGGTTCATCAAAGAGGCTTTTGGTTCCCCGAAATGGAAACATTGCACCATTCCAGTCTGACTTATCATCAAGTAAAGATTTTGTGGATTTTGGTTTTTGATAACGAACACTTTTCCTTTTTACAGTTTTTCTGTTTGTAGTTGGAAGTTGTTTACTCTTAAGTGTAACTGCAAATACAAAAATATTATCAACAAAAAAGTTGTATACGTATGTATAAAGATAACTTACACCTAGTTTTGTTAGTTTTATCGAATCGGTTCTTTTTCCATAGTCTCTCGCCTCTCTTCAACATTGCCATCTGTTGTTCGTACCTTTTCTCAACGTTCTCTTTACTCGGATACTTTTGTTTCCTTTCAGCAATCCATTTGGCGATGTCTTCCGGACCTTCTAAATTACCAATTTTCGTAAAAAGTCCACTGGCGTGCTGCATCTTAACGTGTTTATCAATAATTTTTTCGTGCGCGGTGAATTTGCAGCCATCTATGTCGCAAGTTCTGTGCTCGGACATGTGTTTATCGAATCCCTCATTAGAATTAAAAGATTTATCACATGTATCGCAGTAAAAAGTGGGACTCGCTTCAACACCATACCATCCGTCTGGACAATCTTGGTAATTCCAATAATCGTGAAAGTTGTTTCCATTTTCATTTCTTTCGGTAACACCTTCCACAAATCCGCAATAATAATTGGAACTATCAGTAATATATCCACTTTCATTTGTGTAACTACTGCTGTGTTCTTCACAATAGTTCTCATATTGCATTCCTTCTGCTTCGTCCTTATCATCATCAACATAATCATCATCATTATCGTCGCTGTTATCATCTTCAAAAACATGATTTTCAGAATTCAATGAACCGGACACCTGTTGTACACAAATTGCATATTAATTAATTATTTCAAATAAAACAATCTAGAATATATATAAGAATGTCTACCGTGCGCAAAAAGTTTTAAAAAACACTTATTTAGAAAATAATTGCCTCAAAAGTTTTGTGAATAAATTTGCAATGATAAGGTAGAAGTTTTTATATTTAAGAGTCAATATTTGCAACTTTAAATACGCACGTTTAAAAACTAAAGTTATTAATAGAAACGCCGCTTTATTGGCAATGAAGTGCGTTTTAAAGTTGGGAGAGCTTACAAATTAACTTCATGGACCATTGGAATGATAACAATTCTATTTTAAGCTCTGATGCTTTTACTATTATAAATAAAAAAAAAATCATTGTAGAAGATGTGAAACTTACGTTAAATCCATTGACTTACAATTTGTTTGTGACCAGCAAAATCCATCTAATTTTTACATTCCACCGAACAGCATGAAAATATCTAAGGTTTTTTAGTAATTTGTAAAAGTAGACAGTTTTAAACTTATTTCATTTATATAGCCACCTCCAAAGGTTGCTAATATTACGATAGTTAATCAATAAAATGAAAAATACATGTAAGGATAACAATATAGCAAAAAGGAAACAGAAAAATTATTTATTACTTACTTTTCTGTAAATAATAAACCCACATTAAAATGAAATATATTTAGATAACTGCCAGTCAAAATCCTCAAGGTATGGAATGATTTAACGTATTTATTTTCACTGTTATTACAGCAAACATTGCAAATAGGTAAAATAATGTGTAGATGGTGAGTAAATACTTTTGTATTGTCGTGTTGAAATTAAAAAAAAAATAGAAAATGATAAATGTTAAATTTCAATTAAAAAATATTAACTATCCCAAAGAAAATTGATAAAAGTATAAATTCAGTGAAAATGCTGTCTGCTTCAATAAATTAATGAAAACTAAATAAATTGACACTAAAAGTGTTTCACTTAACTTTTTTAGCCAATTCAAAGTTTAATGTGTTTTCACACAACAGTTAAGAAAATTAACAGAAAAAAGTAAATACATATTTTCATAAATACTGCATCACTGATATTAAATACTATGAAGTATTTAAAGCCATTATTAATTGAAGTTGTTGGTTCAGTAAATACATGCCAAGAAAAACTTAAAAATTCGATTAGAATCGTTTTATTTGTTATTTAATTTAAATATACAATTACTTAAATTATATGGAGATATTTACTCCTGGCAGAAGTACTTAGATTTACTTCTACTGATATTATGTGAAATAGAAGTTGGCAAAATATATCTTTCATCTAGTAAAAAGACAATCTAAGAAACCAAAATATTCAAGAGATTTTTTGCAGTACATCTAATCTTTTTAGAGTTCCAAAGAAATTTTGCACACACAACTACACAAAAACATTGATACAATTAATATTATTAAGGTTATCTATAAACAGTATGAGACATTTAGAATATAAACTACAATTACGACTCATTAGAGCAGTTGTGAAATTTACGTTGGCCAATTCAAGTAAAAACTGGCAGTAAAAACTGAACTAACTATGAAAGTGCATCCAAGCTGTCAAATTTATAAATTAATTATGTGAGAGAGCCTGGTTTAAAAGAAGTTTATGTGGCCGTTGGCCCTGAAGCAGTGGTTTCTATAATTACAGGTTCAGAGGGTGTTGCACTTAACCCACTGGGCTCTGAAATTTGCTCGCATTTCTCAGTGACACTTTGTGTTTCTAAATTTACATTTGTCGCAGTTTTGCTTTTATCCTGCAAACAGATCCAGCCAATGAATTAACAAATTTAAATGTCAATCTGAAACTTAATTTATTACACTTATCACTATTTTATTGTAAAATGATAAATTTAATTACTAAAAATTCTCCAATTTACAAGCAAAAAGTGAATAGTTGAACTGAAGCCATAAAATTTCAATACTATCTGGGAATTTGTCATGTATAAAATTATTTCAAATAGACTCAATACTTTGAAAACATTAAATAAGCATGAATAATACATTACGATTTAAAATTAGTCAGTTAATACCGAAATGCTGACAGAAAATTATTAAGATGACTGAAATAATACCTATAACACGACGTCAGCCGTGTAATCAATAGGTGCTGTAATAACAGGCGCATTCTGAGCTTGAGGCATGAGTTGAGGTATACGCACCTCCAAATATTCCTTTTTCGCCTTTGCATATATATTACTGCACTTCTCGCGTAGCTCTCGGTACGACGCCCAGTCAGGAGGTGTTTGTGTGTTTTTCGCCTTTTTTAGAAGTTCATCTTTCTTTGCAAACTCTGCTTTAATCTCCTCTGTCACCCACGGCTTTGTTAAATCTACATCCTTCAGTGATGGTCGTTTTTTAATTACTTTGCCTTTTAGTATGTTAGGTCTAAGTTTATGAGACATGAGAGGCCTCAAACCACGTGGGCCGGGGCCTCGTGGCCCTATGCCACGCGGAGGAGGCATTGGTGGTCTCATTCCAATCGGTGGTGGCCTCATGCCAGGAGGTGGCATATGAGGTCTCATACCCATTGGAGGAGGTGGCCTCATACCTGGAAGAGGAACTCTTGGACCTGGGCCAGGTCCCATCATTCTATTCGGTGGTGGAGGAGGCATTCTGCCTCCTCGAAAAGGAGGTGGTGGTCTCATACCTGGAGGAACTGGGCCCATTGGTCTCATTCCTGGAGGAGGCATATGCCCTGGAGGTGGACCTCTAGGTCTCATTTCGTTCGGTGGAAATGATGCTCGAAATTTATTACCAAACACTCGAGCATTCGCTTCTTTCCTAACCTGGAAAAACTTGTTCCCTCGCTTATTCCTTTTCTTTACTTGCTTGTTAGGATCGACAGCTGCGCCCATTGATTAAGTATAAAACTATGTAAAAATTGTTTATATTTTCTTAATTTAACTAAAATTATTTAACTTCTAACACCTTATAACAATATAATGACCATAATAATGACGCTTCTACACCACCATCTTTAATAAATATCCATAGATAATAATAAATATTATAGATAATAGAATAAATATTTTTTTAACCATAGATAAGAAATATATCGTGGGTGCCATTAAACACAATC